CAAGGCTAGTCTCCCTAACTGATTGCACATTCAAGGCTAGTCTCCCTAACTGATTGCACATGCAAAGCTAGTCTCCCTAACTGATTGCACATGCAAAGCTAGTCTCCCTAACTGATTGCACATGCAAGGCTAGTCTTTCTAACTGATTGCACATGAAAAGCTAGTCTCCCTAACTGATTGCACATGCAAAGCTAGTCTCCCTAACTGATTGCATATGCAAGGCTAGTCTTCCTAACTGATCAAATTTCAAGTTCCAACCCTAGAACTAAACCGTGATTAATTGTCTTTATGTGAAAATATTTGTCAAGGGGACATGACAATATGAAATATAGGCAGTTTTTCTGAGACTGATATTGTAGCTGCCTTTTTCCTGGTTGTAAAGTGCTGCAAATTCAACGTGTATGTCTCCTGTGTACATAGTATAATTATATTTAAGTGTGTTTCATATCCTAAAACAACTTTCCTAGAAGTTGTCTCCTCCAGCAGCAAATAATGTGAAAAATATGTAGATTGGTAAGAACTGTGTCATACAAAGCAGCAACCATGTTGGGTGGTGTAGTTGTAGCTAGTTTGAATATAGCAGCACAATTTTTATTGATAACTCTGGATAATAACAAAACAATCTTCCATTCACTTTGTTGCTGGAGGGTTTGTTGACTGAAAAGTTGTACTGCATGTGCTTATGCAACTTGTGCGTTTATTTCAGCTTTTTTATATCTGTCAATTGAAAAGTGCATATGTGAGAAAGAAAGACATTGAATAATTGAGTGACTCATTGTCACATAGAGCTGCACAGCTGTTGCAAGTCACGAGTCTGGCTTGTGTTTTTCTGATAAAAAAGGAAAATAAATTAAATATTTATATGGCAAATTTATAGTAATAATAATTCTGTGTTGTATTTTCTTTTTATTATGCACACACCAGCTAGATAGAGATATAAAGATAATATTGGATTATTTGTCAAAGACTAATATTGTTTTTATCTCTCAGATGGTACCACAGATAGTGCAAGGTGTCTTGAAAGGTCTAAATGGTGCTGTCATTGAGTCAATACATGGTACTAGTGGTCAGCCACAGAATGTCCCTCCACAGACGCCATCAGTTGCACCAACTGATGTGCCTCCAGAAAAGACTGAGGGTGCTGCAGCTGCACGTAAGTGGCTTACCTTGGCATGAAATCGCCTATGGTGGGTGATTTACGTACAAATTTATTATCTAGCTTCATTCATCATTACTATTTCTAAAATGATCAAATTTCAAACGTTTCTGTACGTAACAATATTTGTTTTTCATTATTTTAGCACTTTACTGTCATGTTGGCATTATCTGTGACCACTGTGGACAAACAATTGTCGGTATACGCTACAAATGTGGGTATGTTGAAACATGTATTACTTTTGCCTCAAGACCATTTCATCGCACTTTCAGTCCTCCCTCTGAAAATAAATCTCATTCACTGATATTATCAAATGTCTCGATAGAATGCCATCATCTAAACAATCTCTTAATTTTACACATGCAAGTTGTGATGAAGTGTTACTAGTATTTGTGCACCATACCCAGATTAAATTGACAGAAGTTCAAAACCTTCTAGATGTTTAACACCAAAAGGGGGGTTCATCTCGTACCCAGGGAAAGTGTGCCTTGGACTCGATGGGAAGCGTGACTCACTGAACGAGGTACATTCACCAAGGCATGCAACTTTGAGAAAAACACACAGCCCTCTCGCCTAATCCCAACATGGAACGTAGTTTATGTGGCAAAATTTAGTACATGTGCTACAGGCAATTGTGTCAATGATTTGGAGAGACAACATTTACTGTAGGCCAGTTGAGAAACAACTTAAGTGCCAAACTTTTTGTGTCACAAACACTGTACAGCCTACATAACATAAAGTACTGGTACTTGGAATGTTATTCTGTGCAGGTAACAACAATTTGACATGTTTATTTTGGTTTTGCTACAAAGAACTTTTGGTAATACAATAGTTGAGGTCAGTGTGTTGACCTTGGTCACATGATCCATTGTATGCAAATTGACCAGAATAATGTAAACTTTGTATACCATCACTTTTCCAAAAAAGGAAAACTGCACCTACCGGTATCTAAAAATAGAACAAGTGCTATGTTGAATGGAAAATGTAAGAAATTAGGTGTTTCAGATAAATAAGTATATAGAAATTTGCAAAATGGTAGAAAAAATGATGTCATTTGGTAAATAGGTATGTCTGGTCCAAATAAGTTAGATTTTACTGATGCATCATAGATGCAATATAAGGTTTCTGTGTACTTCTATTAGAAATGTGCTTTTAATAGAGCAAATACGGTATTTATATTATTTATTGTTTGTAATGTAGAAACTGTGCTGATTTTGACCTGTGTGAGCAGTGTGAAGCAATTGAAGGTATACATAATGATACCCATGTGTTGCTGAAGATGAGACGACCAGCCATAGGGGCTGGTAGAAAAGATGGTGTACTTCATCCATTACTCAATGATATTATTTACAAAGAGACTGTTGACCTACCTATGTGAGTATATTTAAATAAGTTTACATTGCAAATCCTATGTATACCAAAGACCTCCCCCAATTCTTCTTATTCACACATTATGTACTGTAAAACACGTCTTTTTAACTAACAAGTTTGTTTTATTATTTTAGCTAATTTACAAATCCATAATTTCGCTAATTTATAATGTTGCTAATTTAAATATGTTCTGACAATGTGATTGTTTGCACTTAAGCTTAATTCAATTCTGTTAATTCATGCATTGAGTCAAAATGACATGTAGCTAGTCATTGTGTTTTACAGTATGTAAAAGAGCTACATAAATCGAAAACCTCAGTTTCTTGGTGCCTTTGGTGTTTTGTTTAGACAGATTTCTTTGTAACCCGCCATACTCTGTTATCTAATATTCATTTGGTTCAAAATACATTCTAAGATTATCAAATAGCAATTTTGAATCATTGTTGTATGCAATATTTTATATAAACATGCAAGTTTCACACTTCTAAATTCATGTTTTTATACAGATTCAAGTCACCATGGTGGCAGAGAAAACTACAACAAGTTGAAAAAGAGTGTGAGAAAAAAGTTGAGAAAGCTGCAAGAATGGCTGAAAAAGCCGAAAGAAAAGCTGAGAGAATGAACCGCAGAGGATGTGATAAAATGAAAGATAAAACAGAGAAAAAAATAGAGAAGATGAAAGAGAAGTTTGAGAGAAGAGAAGAAAAGATGAAGAGGCGTCTAGAAGGAAAAGATACTTCGATGCCAAGTAAAAAAGAAAAAGTTGATGATGATGGTAGTACAGAAGGTCTTGTAGGCGCTTCATATACCAGACTTTTGGAGTAAGTTGCATTATGGAATATACAGTAGATGCTGGGGGTGATAACCTGAGTCAATACAAAAGCTAATTACATTATTGTCCCTGGTTGGCTACTCAACAGTCAAACCAATATATATGTATATATGCTCTGACTCAAGTCGATAACCTTAGAAATTTAGAAGCTTGAAGCGATACAAAAAGGAATCTGGTACAAGAATCAAGGAGCCAGACAAACACAAAACTTGAAGTGAAATGAGTACATCCCTTGACAGGACAGGATAGGTGATGGGAAAGAAAGAATGATACATAGTGGAAATATAAGGAAAATAGGAAGGTGATGGCAAACAGAATAATTGTCACTGTATGAAGCAAATAGAAAAGGTGACGGGAAACAGAGAATGCTTCAGAGTGAAAATATGAAGAAAATGAAATTTGTGTGTTACTGTGACGTATTTTGAGAAACTTGTCCTAATATTTTCAAAAAATCTTTTTTTTTTAGAACAATCCCATAGGACACAATGTTAAAAACAAAATTGCATTTTTTGACACTTTTTAAAACCCAGATTTTTGACAACAAAAAGTATCCCATCATTCACAATATATAATTTTGTTGTCACCAGACTACAATTTGAGATATGGCATAATGTCTGTGCCATAGGAACCTATGATTGAAGAATTGTAATACTGTTAAAATGGCCACTGTCCACTAAAATGCAACCATTATTAGTCCCCGTTTGGACAAAGTCTGAAAACCGGGACTTATAATTCGGTCTCCGTCTGTGCGTCCGTCCGGAGTCGTATCTCAGAATCCCTTGGACCGATTCCGTTCATTCTTTGCATGTGCCTAGTACTTTATGTGGGACATATGCACATGCAGTGGTTTAGTGATTCGATTCAAAATGACCGACTGGCAGCCATCTTGTTTTTTGAAAATGTCGTATTTTGGACATGCTTTGTCAGTTTTCACTCAAATTTAGTACATAGATCATACATGTTAGGATATATGTCCCCAACCGTCCGTGAGTTCCTGAGTCTATCCGTCCGTGTGTCCGTCTGTCCGTCCATGTGTCAGTCTGTCCAGAGTCATATTTCAGAATCCTGTGGACCGATTCCGTTCATTCTTTACATGTGCCTAGTACCTTATGTAGGACATGTGCACATGCAGTGGTTTAGCGATTCGATTTAAAATGGCCGACTGGCAGCCATCTTGTTTTTTGAAAATGTTATATTTTGGACATGCTTTGTCAGTTGTCACGTGGGTTCATGACGTAAGGGGTAAAAGAATCTTGAGGTCATGGGGCTTCCCCTGACCTAGATTCTATCTCTCCGTCACCGGCAGAATCGCTGATTAATGCCTACAGTTCAAAATAGTCATTTTGACTGACCGGAGTCTATGGTGGGTATGAACTATGTGAATAGGCGGGTTCGGAGAACCCTCGCCTAATTTAACAGGGACTGTGTTTCATTTTCAATGACTTGTTTTCTTGAAAATTAGGCTCAAAGAAAATTAGGTCAATAATCTTATATTGCCTGGAAGTACAATTTATTGGAAAATGAATAAATTCTGTTGTTGTTTTTTTTTTAGTAGGCTTCTGCTTTAAATCGCTTTCCTTCCTCACTATCAGGTGTATCTGACTCCTGTAAACCAGCTTTGAGACAGTTTGTATATTCTATAGTATGGATGTAAATATACACAACAACTCTAGTCTGATTAATGAGATGCACTTATTGACAATTATTTGTATCCATTTGTTTGTAGTAAAATGGATGCTGTGTTTGTAAGAGATGGTAATATACCAGATGACACCCATGTACAGCCAGGTACTAAGTTTGTCAAACATTGGGTTATGAGTAATCGGGGGACGCAACCATGGGACTCTGATACACGGGTAAGTTTTAGTGTATTCCTTCAAAGTGTTACCTGAATCTTGCATAATTATTTCCAAA